AGCCGATAGGACGCGCTGTCCTAGTAGTAGTGGAGTCGCCTCAGGCCACTCAACAACGTCCGGTCATTCGAGGTCAATAGTAGCCTTATTCTCTCAACTAAGCGACAGTAGAAATTCCCGCGAAGTTCAATCTCGTGAGAGTGAGGAGACACTCTCAAGAACACCCCGTGGAAATGGAAAGGCTCTATCTGAGCGTCCTGCGAAGATCCAGCAGAATGAGCGAGCCGCGCAGCGGAGCCGTGACATATCCGCCGTTGACTATTCAGCACATGAGCATGAAGAGAACGATCGGACGGTTCTGAACGAGCCTCGGGAATGGGCGGGTCTGGCAGCATGGAGAACCGCAGCGATCCGCACAGACACCTTCTGGGGACCCAAGGGCTCGTGCGATCCCCCAGCAGGGTCTGACAGCTCCTGTGTTTCCCCGCGCGGCGCGGAGAACTCCGGGGACAATGAAGCGAATAAAGCCCTCGGCGGCGGCGGCGGCGGCGGCGCGGTGGCGTGGGATCGCATCGTGCTTCCCGCCTCGCTGGCGGAGTGCGGCCGAATGGTGCTCGAGTCGCCCGACCCGCGCGTCAAGATCGCCGTCACGCACGCCGCGCACCGCTTGCTCGCCGGCGGCGCGGCGGCCGCAGGCGAGGCGGCTGCGGCCGGCGACAGCGGCGGCGGCGGCGGCGGCAGTTGGCGTGGCGACTGCCCCTCCGCAACCCGCGCGGCCGGCGCGACCAGAGCTGGTAAGGGGAGGGGGAGGCGGGCGCGAGAGAGGGGGAGGGAGGAGAGGCGGAGGAGGGAAACACGGGAGAAATGGGGAGGGATGGGGAAAGCGGGAGGGGAGAGAGAAGGCGACTGCCCCTTCGAAACCCGCGCGGCCGGCGCGACCAGAGCTGGTAAGAAGGGGGAAGGCGGGAGCGAGAGAGAGGGAAGGGGGAGAGGCGGAGGAGGGAGAAGAGGGGAGAGGGGGGAAGGGGTGGGGGGGGAAAGGGGGAGAGGGAGGGGGGAGAGAAAGCGAATGAGGGGCGGGGGGGTTGAGTGCGGGACGGGGAAGTAAGCATAGGAAATTGGATTTTTGAGTCGACTCAAAAGTCAACTCGGTATAATGTCACACGGTACTTTTTCTACACGCAGGGCAATTCTCGTTTGGAGTTTACCAAAACGAGTTGGTAATTTTTTAATTTCAGCTCATAAGTGCTAGCTTACTGTAGACTTGTTTTCTACTGTTTTCATCTAGCTTTCCCCCACCTTCCCTGGCCACGCGGAGGAATGCCTCGCGATTGAGCCCTTGGGGTTGGTATTTAGCCTGCTTGCTTCTCATTTCTGAACTTTGTGGTCTGAAGAAGGCTCGAAGAGCCGAAACTAGTTACCGCCAAACTTTTCGTTTCCACAAGGTTTTTACAAACAAGCACAAAACCAAACTAAACAACAGTTTGCTAAACACAGCTGCTGCCACGCTACGCCATGCCTCCTACGTGGGGATCCATTGGTCTATCTGTTGATACTGCAGCGATGGCCAGCTATAAATTCAATGCAAACACTACTACTACTACTACAACCAACACCAAGGTTGACCGCGCCTCGAACATCCCGAAGCCAAAGAGAGCTCCGCGAACAAATTCGCAGCTTGGTTCGGATAAAGAGCCGGTTTATCCGTGGGATAACCCACAGCAAGATCCTTCAGCTTGCCGACACTGCAAAAAGAGAGCTCTTGAATCCTCTAGTGCTACTCTCGCTAAGTCGATCGACGTTCCTGGAATTATCCCCGTCGCCATGGCTAATCAGTCTACTTCGACGGCCCAGGAGTAGGAAGCTGGTTTTCGGATCCAGGATAACATTGGTCTCCGCGACGACGTTATGTCCGATTCCATTGACTTCCTTGGTGCTTTTAACATTCCTTTTCTGGAAAAGCAGGCTACTCCGGCCTATTTTACTACTTTGAAATCTCAAGCGATAAGCGACTTCAAGAAGAAGTTTGTGAAACATCGCACTCTGCTGCAGCAGTATAACTTCATGGTTGAGCAGAAGAATGCTGGGATTATTCCTCATTCTATCCGCATCAAGTCCTTTAATTTCGTCTGCAACTCCGAAGATATTCGTCAGGAGGCTGACAAGGATCTTGAAGCGGCTAAACTGGCTTATTGCCGTAATGCTCAAGATATTTTAATCGCTATGAAGAAGAAGGATGCAGAACAAGCTTACACTGATGCTGCAACGGTTTATAACTCTTTGATCTTCCACATCGACAACTTCATCAACTTGAACAAGAAATCCGACCTCGGCTCTAAGAACCCGAAGGTCCTTGACAGCCTCGACTTCTTTTTAGATACGAGTGTTGACCGAGTTCAAGGATGCAGCGTCGCTGTTTTACATGGAGACCAATATGGCTGAAATTCACCTGAAGCAGAAGAAGGACGACCTCGACGCTAAGAAAAAGGCTGCAGTCGACGAAGCTGAGAATCTGCCGGTTGAACCCACTGTTCGAGAAATCGCTCGTCAGGAAGTGCAGAAAGTGCTGAAATCGACGACCGCGAAGTCTCCTGTTAAGACATCCAACAAGAAGGATAAGGTTTCTTTTAATGGAAAGTCTAAATCTCATACTAACAAATCCGGCGTGAATGTCAGGAAACCTACTGCTGCTGCTCACGGCTTTAAGCCTCGTCAGGCTTCTAAGTCTTCTAAGCCCGGCAATAATAAGGGTTCCCGTCACAACAACGGTGCTGCTAGCAACGGCAAAGGTGCTGCTACCAACGGCAAGAAGCAGAAATCAGATGAAGCTGAACGTACTGCTGTGAAGACAGTTGGCCGCTCTTACTCAAAGACGGCTGTACGCAGCAGCTCCAAGCCTGGTAACCGCAATGCATCTGCGCCAAAAAATGGGGGAGGAGGAGGCCGCGGAAAAACGACTCGGCATTAGTGACTGATGTTCACTCCTACGCACTGATACTGTTCGGACGACTGACAGAGTATCAGCTGCAGTGCCGTATCACCAACCGTGGACTCCACAATTACAGCAACCATACCTTCTCTAAACCTGAGCTCGACCTCTTAACCCTGGGACTGAAATTCATACCTGTTCCTGTCATTCGCACTGTCGCTAGTCTGGAAGCCGAGATTTCTACTTTTCTTAGGAATGTTCGTACCATGTTTCTCTTTAATGGATCTAATTCTTCCGGTTACTCAGGGTATAAGCTACCTAGACGAGAAAACTGGGATCCGCCGGCAGCTTCATCTGAAGTTGAAACCGCGCTGGAGGTCTTTAAGGAAGCAGCTATTAAAGAAGTCACTGGACATAACTTTTCTTCACTGATGCGGAAATCTAAAAACGTGCTACCGACTTTAAGACGACTTGCTAATAATCCTAACATCATCTTCAAACCTGCAGATAAGAACCTGGGCTTGACCGTCATGAGCAGAGATTACTATCAGGAGCAATGCCTGAAACACCTGCTCAACAACAAAGTCTATAAGGAATATCCTGCAGTTCCGGTCTCTGACATTCTTCACGAGCTACATTCTATTCGCTCGGATTGGGACCCGCTTATTAAATCCAAGATTTGGAACTCTTTTTTCGATCGGCCTAAGAACGGCTGGAAGGTTCCGGCGTTCTACATTTTGCTGAAAATTCATAAAAAGGTTCCGGTTGGAAGGCCTATTGCCGCTTGCCACTCCTGGATTACAACTAACGTGTCACGCTGGCTGGACTCTGTTCTACGGCCGCTGGTGCTTAAACAGCCGACATACGTTAAAGACTCTCAAAGTTTGATTCTTCAACTTGAGCAACGCTCGTTTTCTACTAATTTGCTGCTGGCGTCGTATGACGTGGAATCTCTATACCCGTCAATACCGCTATGGGATGGCATTGATGCTGTCGCCTATTTCCTACAGAAAGAGCGGCACCCTCTCGCGCCAGTCATTACTCGTCTCCTGCGATGGGTGATGTTTAACAGCTTCGTTTCTTTCAACGGCCGTTTCTTCCGTCAGATCCAAGGCACTGCCATGGGTACCTCGGTGCCTGTTTGCTTCGCCGTGCTGTTTCTCAGTTATCTGGACATTCAACTTCACGCATCGCTCAAACTCACTCCCGCTCTTCATCTTCGATTTATTGATGACGGGTTGATTCTCTGGGAGGGAACGAGAGCGGAGTTTGAATGTTTACGGCAACGGTTCGATTCACTTCATCCTTCCATCCGACTGACATGGGTTGTTTCAGAAACCACAATGGACTTTCTGGACTTGACAGTTTTTAAGGGGCAGAGATTCTCAACTTCTGGTACTCTCGACTTGAAGCTGTATCAGAAGCCGATGAACCGCTACTTGTACCTGCCTTTTAAGTCTTACCACACCCGGTCTACTAAAGTCGGCTTCATACGGAGTGAGCTACAAATGTTTCTTTTACGCTCTTCCTCCCGCACTGACTTTCTTAATTCCCGCGCTTTATTCTTCGCTCGCTTACGAGCCCGTGGGTACCCGGAGAAATTTCTCCTCCCGATCTTTAAGTCAGTCCTTTTCGCTAACCGTGGGGAACTGCTCCAACGTGCCTCTGCTATTCATAACTCCGAAACCCGTGGCCCCCTGGTGCTGAAACTTCTGCTCAACCCGCTGGTTGACCGTTCGCGCCTGGGGAACATTTTGAGTCGACTCAAAAGTCAACTCGGTATAATGTCACACGGTACTTTTTCTACACTCGCTTGGAGTTTACCAAAACGAGTTGGTAATTTTTTAATTTCAGCTCATAAGTGCTAGCTTACTGTACACTTGTTTTCTACTGTTTTCATCTAGCTTTCCCCCACCTTCCCTCGCCACGCGGAGGAATGCCTCGCGATTGAGCCCTTGGGGTTGGTATTTAGCCTGCTTGCTTCTCATTTCTGAACTTTGTGGTCTGAAGAAGGCTCGAAGAGCCGAAACTAGTTACCGCCAAACTTTTCGTTTCCACAAGGTTTTTACAAACAAGCACAAAACCAAACCAAACAACACTTTGCTAAACACAGCTGCTGCCACGCTACGCCATGCCTCCTACGTGGGGATCCATTGGAAGTAAGCATAGGAAATTGAGGACGTGCGACCCCAATCTTCCGCATTCCATTCCCCTCCCCCTCCACCACCCTTCCCATCTCTTTCCCACCCTCCCGAACCCCGCTTTATCCCCTTCTCAACCCTCCCCCACCCCTCCCCACCGCTCCCCACTCCTCTCTAGGTTCACCCGCGAGCAATGCCCGGCCCCTCCTCCCCTGCACCCTGGCCGGCACACATGCTTCACAATCTAGCCCACGTGGAATTGAACGCCATTGACCTGGCCCACCTTCCCCACCCCTTTTTCACCCCTCTTACCCCTCCCCATCGCTCCCCACCCTTCCCTAGGTTCACCCGCGTTCAATCCAAAAGCCCGGCCCTTCCTCCCCTTTACCCTGGCCCGCGCACATGCTGCACAACCGAGCCCACGTGGATCTATCCCCTTCCCCACCCTTCCCAACCCTCCCCACCCTTCAGCACCACTCCCCACCCCTCTCCAGCGCACTTGCTGCACAACCTCGCCCACGTGGAACTGAATGCCATTTCTTACCTTCTTCCACCCCTCCCCACCGTTCCCCACCGCTCCCTACTGCTGCGCCCCCCCCTCTCCAGGTTCACCCGCGGGCAATCCCAAAGCCTGGCCCCTCCTCCCCCTTACCCTGGCCCGCACACATGCTGCACAACCTAGCCCACGTGGAACCATCCCCTTTCCCACCCCCTTTACCCCCTCTCAACCGTTCCCCACCCCTCTCCAGGTGCACCCGCGGGCAATCCCCAAGCCCGGCCCTGCCTCCCCCTTACCCTGGCCCGCACACATGCTGCACAATCTAGCCCACGTGGAATTGAACGCCATTGACCTGGCATGGGACACCGTTGTCAGATTCTCTGCTCTAGGGGCGGAGGGTGAGGAGGAGGGGGAGAGGGTGTGGAGTGGAGGGAGTGGGAGGGATGAGGAGGAGGAGGAGGAGGGGCGAAGGGAGAGTTTGGAGCAAAAGTGGAAGCTTCCGCGTCAGTTCTTTTTGGACTTTGTACACGTGGCAGATGATGAGAGCAGACACCTGGCGTGGTGCCTGCAGCGACTGGAAGAGATGGGGCACAGGTGGGATGCGGTGCAGTGCAGGTGGGGTGCGGTGCTGGTGGGTGGGATGTGGGACGCACATGGTGCAGGATGCATATGGCTAGTTGTTCGCCGCTCCTATATGCCATGTTGCCCCACTCTCACCCCATGTTGTCCCTACCGTTACCCACTTCTTTCCATCTCTCCCCCAACACATTTTTCTCCCATCTCTCCCCCCCATCTCTCCCCCCATCTCTCCCCCCATCTCTCCCCCCATCTCTCCCCCCCATCTCTCCCCCCCATCTCTCCCCCCATCTCTCCCCCCATCTCTCCCCCGCATCTCTCACCCCATCTCTCCCCCCCATCTCTCCCCCCCATCTCTCCCCCCCATCTCTCCCCCCCATCTCTCCCCCCCATCTCTTCCCCCCATCTCTCCCCCCCATCTCTCCCCCCCATCTCTCCCCCCCATCTCTCCCCCCCGTCTCTCCCCCCCGTCTCTCCCCCCCGTCTCTCCCCCCCGTCTCTCCCCCCCGTCTCTCCCGCCCATCTCTCCCCCCCCGTCTCTCCCCCCCGTCTCTCCCCCCCGTCCCTCCCCCCCGTCTCTCCCCCCCGTCTCTCCCCCCCATCTCTCCCCCCCGTCTCTCCCCCCATCTCTCCCCCCCATCTCTCCCCCCCATCTCTCTCCCCCAACTCCCCCACCTGCAGCTACGGGGACATGCCAGCTCACAACCTGCTCTGGAGGGACTGCGAGAAGTCGGCCAATCATGTGCAAGACAGGCTGGCAGTCATTCCCATGGTGCAGGTACCGCCGGCCAATCACAATGCACCTAGGGATCACGTGCGATAGCAGCAGCAGGGCGAGGAGAGGAGAGAGGAAGAAGGGGGAGAGTGGGAGGGGAGAGGAGGAGAGGGGGTAAGGAGGAGAGGAGGTCGAAAGAGGAGGTCAAAAGAGGAGGTCAAAAGAGGAGGTCAAAAGCGAAGGTCAAAAGAGGAGGTCAAAAGAGGAGGTCAAAAGAGGAGGTCAAAAGAGGAGGTTGTAAGAGAAATTCGAAAGAGGAGGTCAAAACCCCCAGCAGGTCCATTTGTTGTTTTATTCGGCTAAAACTTCTCTCCATCACTCTTAAAAAAAAAAAAAAAAAAAAGGATCCCTCGTCAAGATCCATCTCCCCCTCCTTTCACCCTCTGTTCATCCTCCCTCCTTTCATCCCCCTTCCATCCATGTCAACAGGAGGCGAGGAGGCTGGACGCGGGGCCGCGGCTGGTGGAGCGGCTGGTAGGGCTGGGCGATAACAGGAGTGTAACAAGCGTGCCTTCGCCGCTCCAAATCCTCCTTCCCTATATGCATCCCTCCTGGCAGGAAGCGAGAGGGCTGGACGCGGGGCCGCGGCTGGTGGAGCGGCTGGTAGGGCTGGGCGATAACAGGAGTGCAGCAGTAGTGGCGAAGATAGCACAGGAGGAGGTGGCACACGTGGCAGTCGGGGTGGTGTGGTTTGTCTGGGTCTGCGAGCGCATGGGCGTGGACCCACTGACTTCCTTCACAAGTGAGTGCTAGCGGTGGTGGGGGGAGTGGGATTCACAGCTTACAAGCGTATGGTGGTGTGGTTTGTCTGGGTCTGCGAGCGCATGGGGGTTGACCCACAGATATCCTTCACAAGTGAGTGTGAGGGACGGGCCTTTACAGGTATTCTGATTTTTTTCCAGGGAGAAAAAGCTTCAGGTTTTGACCCTCCCCACATGCTCTCACCACTCCTTTCATCTCTTTTCCTGTGCATGTGTGATCCGATCGCTGTGTGCCGATGGGGTGAAAGGGCCGTTCAACCATGCAGCTTGTGCTACTGCTGCCTGCCCCAGCGGTCCATACCATATGCCTGATTGTGCGCATTCTGATCTGAGACTTGTAACCCGAATCCCACACCCCCCCATCCCCTTCTCTCTGTGCAGGTGTGATCCGATCGCTGTGTGCCGATGGGGTGAAAGGGCCGTTCAACCATGCAGCTCGTGCCACTGCTGGCCTGCCACAGCGGTCCATACCCTATACCTGGTTGTGTGCATGTCTCAGACCCGTAACCCGAATCCCACACCCCCCCACCCCCTTATCTCTGTGCAGGTGTCATTCGCTCGCTGTGTGCCGATGGGGTGAAGGGCCGTTCAACCATGCCGCTCGTGCTGCTGCTGGCCTGCCACGCCACTGCTACGACCCCCAACCACCCGCCACTGCTACGACCCCCAACCACCCGCCACTGCTACGACCCCCAACCACCCGCCACTGCTACGACCCCCAACCACCCGCCACTGCTACGACCCCCAACCACCCGCCACTGCTTCCCCACCAACCTCTCTCGAACCCTCTCCATTCCTCCCTTTCTCTGCGCAGGTGTGATCCGATTGCTGTGTGCGGATGGGGTGAAAGGGCCGTTCAACCATGCAGCTCGTGCCACTGCTGGGCTGCCACGCCACTGGTACGACCCCCAACCACCCGCCACTGCTGCCCCGCTCGATACAGTCACATCTGGCTCTGCCACTGACACACCTGCTTCGGTCACACTTGCTGCAGTCACACCTGCCGCAGTCACATCAGCTCATGGCACTTCAGTGGGTTCATGTGGTGAAGGGGCAAAGGAGGGAACTGGAGTGATGGTGGAAAAATGGCGCTCAGGGCAGCAAGAAGTGGGCAAAAAATGGAGAAAGCTGATGAGCGGGCAGGTGAACCGGGCTGCCCGGGAAAAGATGCAGGATCAGCTGCAGAGGAAGGCAGCGCGCATCGAGGCCCACATCCAACGGTGCGAAAGGCTCCTTGAATCAGACAGTGCCACGTCATCAACATCCACCTCGTCCCTATCAGCATCAAAAGAAGAGCGTGCCTCACCTGCTGACGTGCTCGGATCTTCTGTTTCCTCCTCCTCTCCCTCCTCCACCTCTTCTCCCCCTCTTTCCACCTCGTTACCACTTCCAATCTCACCTTCCCTTCAAGAATCGGCATCCCCACCTTTGTCTCCATCGTCTGATCAACCATTGACCCCTCCGCAACAGCTCCCTGAAACTGTCGAGAAAGAGGATTCTCCTTTGCATCCCCCTCACAAGCTGTCTCCTCAAGTGCAACAGGACCTGAAGCAGCAGCACAATCTTTCCCTGAAGCAGCTTTCAGAGGTCAGTGTAACTGTGACCTTTGAGTCCACTCAAGAGAGGTCACCTTTCCAGTCATTCCTCTGAGTCATCTCAAAGCACAATCATTCCCTGAAGCAGCTTTCAGAGGTCAGTGTAACTGTGACCTTTGAGTCCACTCAAGAGAGATCACCTTTCCAGTCATTCCTCTGAGTCGACTCAAAGCACAATCCTTCCCTGAAGCAGCTTTCAGAGGTCAGTGTAACAGTGACCTTTGAGTCGACTCAAGAGAGATCACCTTTCCAGTCATTCGTCTGAGTCGTCTCAAAGCACAATCATTCCCTGAAGCAGCTCACAGAGGTTAGTCTAACTGTGACCTTCGATTTTATTTATAAGTCGACTTCAAAATAGGCTCGTCGACTTAAAAATAGGCTCAGAGGTCACCACCTGTGTGGCCTTTGCGTAAAGTCTGAAGAGGTGACTTTTCCAGTTGTCTTGTTTCCAAATGTCCTTTCATTCAAAGTCCGGATCTTTCTTCTCACCACTTGTGTGCTGTTAGGTGCACCGCCGCTTGGCCCTGCTCATCTCCTTTGAGGACCGCTGAGAACCGCCGAGGACCGCTGAGCACCGTTAGTCTGCTACTGAGCACCGCTGAGGACCACTGAGCACCGTTGTGGACTGCTGAGCGCCACTGAGGCTTGCTGAGGATTGCCAATCTGCTCAGCCAAGTGAGAACTGCTGAGAACTGTTGAGGGTTCGTTCAAGATACCGTAGTAATGAACGTTGCCGCTTGAATAAAGAGCTGTTGCAAGTCCATGTCCTACAATCTACTGAGTAATTTCGAGCAGGTATGTGTTGTTTGAACTCATGCTGAGCACATGAAACACAATCCAAGTTCGGTTAAACCATAAATCTACACTCCTGGCACTAGTAGTAACTCAAGCACCAGTCCGGTACTTGTGCAATAAGTCAAAACTAGGGGTGCAGGCATGGCATAGGGTATTTGGGTCTCCGTCCTTCCTAGAACCATGCTCCTACCATCTCACATAGAGATTTGTGTACCAAATCATGCTTCCTAGAATCTGTGTACAAAACCGCCCAAAATTTGAGCCATGGGCAGTGGCTGCAGCCGCCACTGCTGTACGGCTTGACTAGGATGCGAATCACTCGAAGAAATTGCGGGACGAGCGAGCACATAGATCAGAGGGTCCGACCTAGCTCATGCGCGGCCAATTTCTGTGGGAAGAGAGGGGGGTGGGGGGGGGGAAAGGAGGGCAAGAGACAGGTGGATGAGTGGCATGATAGCGAACGTATGTGATCTGAGAGCGTCCTCCCTGTAGTAAACACAAATACACTGTACAGCCTCGTTATAAGCACGTAGCAGTATAGGGTACTGCCTCGCTATAAGCACATACCAGTACAAGGTACTGCCGGTGGAGGTCCACTGCTCGTTTACAGAGCTTCTTCACATCCCATGACCCCGCTGCTGCATTGAAGCTCTGAGAGCCACTCAAAGATGGGGGGGGAGGGAGAGGGAGAGGTGTGAGAAGAAGAGTTCAATGCCTGATGAAGCATAAGAATGAAGGTCCACTGCTCGTTTACAGAGCTTCTTCACATCCCGTGACCCCGCTGCTGCATTGAAGCTCTGAAAGACACTCACAGGGGCAGGGGAAGACACACCAGTCAGGCGGACACACGTGGGAAGGGGACACACAAGAAAGGCAGGGGACACACGGGAAAGGGGGGTCACGCACGAGCATGGAAAGGGGCAGGTAAAGACAAAGAGTAGGATGAGCTTGATTCATTGCTTTCATTGAGGGGTCACACACGAGCAACGCGTGTAGAAGATAGGCGGCCATATTGAAGCTTTCGAAACACCACCAAGGCAGTGACAGGTGTGAGTGTGTATGGGGAGAATGAGCGTTGTGAGGATTTACACACACACTCGGCCCCCCCACACTGTCCAATCGCAAGCCCCACCAGCCCACCCCGGATACAACCTTCCCCAACCCCTCCACACCTCTCATCACCCCCCACATCCACCACGTCAATCCCCTCCTTCACACTCACATCCACCACATCGTCGAGCCCAGAGGCGCCATCAATGAACTCGTCCCTCAGTTTGAGCACGATGGCGAGCACACAGAACGTGGTCATGCGCTCCTGCTCCTCCCTCTTCCCCTCTTCCCTCACCCCTATCCCTTCCCTCACCCCTATCCCCTCCCTCCCCCCCGTTACACTCACATCCACCACGTCGTCGAGCCCAGAGGCGTCATCAATGAACTCGTCCCTCAGTTTGAGCACGATGGCGAGCACACAGAAGGTCGTCATGCGCTCCTGCTCCTCCCTCCGCACGTACGGCACCGCCACCCCCGCCGACTCTGGAAGAGCATAGAAGGCAGATGGTTGTGGGGGCACTATTGGCCCCGCCTCCTCTGCTGCTGCCGCCGCTGCATCTGTCGCTGCTTCTGCTGCTTTCTCTGCTGCTGTTTCTGCTGCTTCTAGCGCGGATCCGACTGCTGCTGAGGCTGCTTGCTGTGGTGTGGGGGAAGCGGGCGCGTCGACGTGCTTCTTGCTGCCCCGTCTTCCCAGCCCGAACGATCCTGTCCGTCGATGAGCCCTCGGAGGCAGATTCAGCTGCCGCGGCACCGAAGCCGGACCACCAGCAGCAGCACCACCACCACCACCAGCACTGGCACTGGCACCGGCACCAGCACCGGCACCGGCACTGGCACCGGCAGCAGCGTACGACGGTGTGATTGGTCGGCCGGCAAACGCTGAGACAGCAAACGCGACAGTATCAGCCGGCATGGCAGCGGTCGCAGCTACCGTACCCACCGGCCCTGCCAGCTTCTGCGCCTTGTGCCAAAGAGCCACAGCAGAGCGGCGCGAGGAGAGGTATTTAGCGCTCTTGCTGGCTGCTAGCTTGCCTGCAGAGGCATCTAGAGTCACGTAGCGGATCACGTCTTTCCTGTATGGCCCCACGCCGGCCCAGCTACGGGAGCGAGCACTGTCGATTGTGTGGCTGCCTGTTCTGTTATTTGTGGTGGCGGTGGTGGTGGCGGCGGCGGGGATTTTGCGTTCGCTGTGGTGCTTTCGGGAGGGGAGGCGGTTGGCAGGGAGTGAGGGGGTGCTGGCGCGGGAATTAGCACCACTGCCGCCACCGGCAGCGGCAGTGGTGGGGGCGGGGGAGGAGGAAGGGTTGGAGGATGAGGGGCCTTTTCTGGTATCGGTGAGGGCGCCTGAGGTGACTGCTGCTTCCACAGACGCCCATGCCGCAGCGGTGGAGCGTGTGCCTGGGGAGGGGGGAAGGGAAGGGGGGGGATGATGGGATGGGAAGGTGGGGCGGTAGGGTGGGATGATGGGGTGATGGGGTGCGGTGATGGGGTGGTGGGGAGCGGTGATGGGGTGGGGTGAGGGCATGGGGTGAATGGTTGCCTACCTCATCGTATCGCAACACACCCTAACCTCGCCTGAACGCCCTAACCTACACCCCGAACCTGCTCCCAAAGCGCTTGCCTCCCTCTCGCCCCCTGCTGCCCCTTCATCTCTCCTGGTTCTGAAATGGTTTAAGAAATGCCCCGCAACTCAAATTAAAAAAGCGTCTTAAAAGACGTATTAAAACTGCATTATTCTGAAACGTATTTCATAACCTACCTGGTCTCAGGGGGCTGGTCCTCCCTTTCCCCCCTTGCTGCCCCTCCTCCTCTCGCCCAGCAACCCGCGCCACTGCAGCCGCAGCACCAGCCATCTTGGCCGCACCAGGCGTCACCCCGTTCCCCCCCCCTGAGCCTTGAGAGGAAGTCACAGCAGCAGCAGCAGCTTCGGCAGCAGCAGCCTTGGCCGCACCAGACGGCATCCCATCCATCCCCGAGCCTTCAGATGAAGTCACAGCAGCTGCAGCCTCCGCAGCAGCGGTGGTGGCGGCGGCAAACGAAGCGTGGTCGAGGGCGTGGGGGGAGGTGGTGGATTGGGAGAGGTGCATGGTGTGTTGTAGCACGGATTGGTCTGCCATGGCTAGTAGATCGGCGTCCCGGGCATCATAGTCCCACGACCACATCATCTGGAGGGGAAGGGGGGAGGGGGAGAGGGCGTGGGGTGAGGTGGTGGAGTGGGAGAGGTGCATGGCATGTTGTAACACGGATGGGTCTGCCATGGCTAGTAGATCGGCGACCCGGGCATCATAGTCCCACGGCCACATCATCTGGAGGGGAAGGGGGGAGGGGGAGAGGGCGTGGGGTGAGGTGGTGGAGTGGGAGAGGTGCATGGCATGTTGTAACACGGATTGGTCTGCCATGGCTAGTAGATCGGCGACCCGGGCATCATAGTCCCACGACCACATCATCTGGAGGGGAAGGGGGAAGGGGGAAGGGGGGAGGGGGAGAGGGGGAGAGGGGGAGAGGAAAGGTTGTCAGAAAAGGGGGTGTGCGTCCCAGGCATCATAGTCCCACGACCACATCATCTGGAGGGGAAGGGGGGAGGGGACCGTGTTGGTAGGAGTAGTGCATGGCCATAAAGGGACGTGCCAATAAGGGTGTAATGAGTCGTGTTTTGAGTCGACTCGAAACACGAGTCGACTCAAAACACGTGTCGGGAGGAGTAGTGCATGGCCATAAAGGGACGTGCCAATAAGGGGTCTAGCCAGTGCGGGGTACATAAGCCAAAATAAGTTGTGTTTCCAGAAATGGGCGGTAATCCCCAAAGTAGGAAACGCGCAGCGTAGAACGTTCCGAAAATAGCAGTGCATGCTAAAAATAGCAAGCAGGGCAGCAGCAGTACCTCCCAGAAGTAGATGGAGTCGGCAAAGGAGAGCTCCCGGCGGAACATGGCCATGATGGGGCGCACCGTGAAGAACATGGTACCTGCGCCTATCTCGTCTGCAAAAGGCAGCAGGGGGTAGAAGGCATAGAAGGAGAGACATGATGGGGCGCACCGTGAAGAACATGGTGCCTGCGCCTATCTCGTCTGATGAGGCACGGGGGATGCAGGGATGGATGGTTGGTGGGACTGATTACATGGGGTAGTAGTGGGCATGATGGGGCACAGAGAGACGGGCATGATGGGGCAGAGAGAGACGGCCATGATGGGGCAGAGAGAGACGGCCATGATGGGGCACAGAGAGACGGGCATGATGGGGCAGAGAGAGACGGCCATGATGGGGCAGAGAGAGACGGCCATGATGGGGCACAGAGAGACGGCCATGATGGGGCACAGAGAGACGGCCATGATGGGGCAGAGAGAGACGGCCATGATGGGGCAGAGAGAGACGGCCATGATGGGGCAGAGAGAGACGGCCATGATGGGGCAGAGAGAGACGGCCATGATGGGGCAGAGAGAGACGGCCATGATGGGGCAGAGAGAGACGGCCATGATGGGGCAGAGAGAGACGGCCATGATGGGGCAGAGAGAGACGGCCATGATGGGGCACAGAGAGACGGGCATGATGGGGCACAGAGAGACGGCCATGATGGGGCACAGAGAGACGGCCATGATGGGGCACAGAGAGACGGCCATGATGGGGCAGAGAGAGACGGCCATGATGGGGCACAGAGAGACGGCCATGATGGGGCACAGAGAGACGGCCATGATGGGGCACAGAGAGACGGCCATGATGGGGCAGAGAGAGACGGCCATGATGGGGCAGAGAGAGACGGCCATGATGGGGCACAGAGAGACGGCCATGATGGGGCAGAGAGAGACGGCCATGATGGGGCAGAGAGAGACGGCCATGATGGGGCAGAGAGAGACGGCCATGATGGGGCAGAGAGAGACGGCCATGATGGGGCAGAGAGAGACGGCCATGATGGGGCAGAGAGAGACGGCCATGATGGGGCACAGAGAGACGGGCATGATGGGGCACAGAGAGACGGCCATGATGGGGCACAGAGAGACGGCCATGATGGGGCACAGAGAGACGGCCATGATGGGGCAGAGAGAGACGGCCATGATGGGGCACAGAGAGACGGCCATGATGGGGCACAGAGAGACGGCCATGATGGGGCACAGAGAGACGGCCATGATGGGGCAGAGAGAGACGGCCATGATGGGGCAGAGAGAGACGGCCATGATGGGGCAGAGAGAGACGGCCATGATGGGGCAGAGAGAGACGGCCATGATGGGGCAGAGAGAGACGGCCATGATGGGGCACAGAGAGACGGGCATGATGGGGCACAGAGAGACGGCCATGATGGGGCACAGAGAGACGGGCATGATGGGGCAGAGAGAGACGGCCATGATGGGGCAGAGAGAGACGGCCATGATGGGGCACAGAGAGACGGGCATGATGGGGCAGAGAGAGACGGCCATGATGGGGCAGAGAGAGACGGCCATGATGGGGCACAGAGAGACGGCCATGATGGGGCACAGAGAGACGGCCATGATGGGGCAGAGAGAGACGGCCATGATGGGGCAGAGAGAGACGGCCATGATGGGGCAGAGAGAGACGGCCATGATGGGGCAGAGAGAGACGGCCATGATGGGGCAGAGAGAGACGGCCATGATGGGGCAGAGAGAGACGGCCATGATGGGGCAGAGAGAGACGGCCATGATGGGGCAGAGAGAGACGGCCATGATGGGGCACAGAGAGACGGGCATGATGGGGCACAGAGAGACGGCCATGATGGGGCACAGAGAGACGGCCATGATGGGGCACAGAGAGACGGCCATGATGGGGCAGAGAGAGACGGCCATGATGGGGCACAGAGAGACGGCCATGATGGGGCACAGAGAGACGGCCATGATGGGGCACAGAGAGACGGCCATGATGGGGCAGAGAGAGACGGCCATGATGGGGCAGAGAGAGACGGCCATGATGGGGCACAGAGAGACGGCCATGATGGGGCAGAGAGAGACGGCCATGATGGGGCAGAGAGAGACGGCCATGATGGGGCAGAGAGAGACGGCCATGATGGGGCAGAGAGAGACGGCCATGATGGGGCAGAGAGAGACGGCCATGATGGGGCAGAGAGAGACGGCCATGATGGGGCACAGAGAGACGGGCATGATGGGGCACAGAGAGACGGCCATGATGGGGCACAGAGAGACGGCCATGATGGGGCACAGAGAGACGGCCATGATGGGGCAGAGAGAGACGGCCATGATGGGGCACAGAGAGACGGCCATGATGGGGCACAGAGAGACGGCCATGATGGGGCACAGAGAGACGGCCATGATGGGGCAGAGAGAGACGGCCATGATGGGGCAGAGAGAGACGGCCATGATGGGGCAGAGAGAGACGGCCATGATGGGGCAGAGAGAGACGGCCATGATGGGGCAGAGAGAGACGGCCATGATGGGGCAGAGAGAGACGGCCATGATGGGGCACAGAGAGACGGGCATGATGGGGCACAGAGAGACGGCCATGATGGGGCACAGAGAGACGGCCATGATGGGGCACAGAGAGACGGCCATGATGGGGCAGAGAGAGACGGCCATGATGGGGCACAGAGAGACGGCCATGATGGGGCACAGAGAGACGGCCATGATGGGGCACAGAGAGACGGCCATGATGGGGCAGAGAGAGACGGCCATGATGGGGCAGAGAGAGACGGCCATGATGGGGCACAGAGAGACGGCCATGATGGGGCAGAGAGAGACGGCCATGATGGGGCAGAGAGAGACGGCCATGATGGGGCAGAGAGAGACGGCCATGATGGGGCAGAGAGAGACGGCCATGATGGGGCAGAGAGAGACGGCCATGATGGGGCAGAGAGAGACGGCCATGATGGGGCACAGAGAGACGGGCATGATGGGGCACAGAGAGACGGCCATGATGGGGCACAGAGAGACGGCCATGATGGGGCACAGAGAGACGGCCATGATGGGGCAGAGAGAGACGGCCATGATGGGGCACAGAGAGACGGCCATGATGGGGCACAGAGAGACGGCCATGATGGGGCACAGAGAGACGGCCATGATGGGGCAGAGAGAGACGGCCATGATGGGGCAGAGAGAGACGGCCATGATGGGGCAGAGAGAGACGGCCATGATGGGGCAGAGAGAGACGGCCATGATGGGGCAGAGAGAGACGGCCATGATGGGGCACAGAGAGACGGCCATGATGGGGCACAGAGAGACGGCCATGATGGGGCAGAGAGAGACGGCCATGATGGGGCACAGAGAGATGGCCATGATGGGGCAGAGAGAGACGGCCATGATGGGGCAGAGAGAGACGGCCATGATGGGGCACAGAGAGACGGCCATGATGGGGCAGAGAGAGACGGCCATGATGGGGCAGAGAGAGACGGCCATGATGGGGCAGAGAGAGACGGCCATGATGGGGCACAGAGAGACGGCCATGATGGGGCAGAGAGAGACGGCCATGATGGGGCAGAGAGAGACGGCCATGATGGGGCAGAGAGAGACGGCCATGATGGGGCAGAGAGAGACGGCCATGATGGGGCAGAGAGAGACGGCCATGATGGGGCAGAGAGAGACGGCCATGATGGGGCAGAGAGAGACGGCCATGATGGGGCAGAGAGAGACGGCCATGATGGGGCACAGAGAGACGGCCATGATGGGGCACAGAGAGACGGCCATGATGGGGCAGAGAGAGACGGCCATGATGGGGCAGAGAGAGACGGCCATGATGGGGCAGAGAGAGACGGCCATGATGGGGCAGAGAGAGACGGCCATGATGGGGCAGAGAGAGACGGCCATGATGGGGCAGAGAGAGACGGCCATGATGGGGCACAGAGAGACGGGCATGATGGGGCACAGAGAGACGGCCATGATGGGGCACAGAGAGACGGCCATGATGGGGCACAGAGAGACGGCCATGATGGGGCAGAGAGAGACGGCCATGATGGGGCACAGAGAGACGGCCATGATGGGGCACAGAGAGACGGCCATGATGGGGCACAGAGAGACGGCCATGATGGGGCAGAGAGAGACGGCCATGATGGGGCAGAGAGAGACGGCCATGATGGGGCAGAGAGAGACGGCCATGATGGGGCAGAGAGAGACGGCCATGATGGGGCAGAGAGAGACGGCCATGATGGGGCAGAGAGAGACGGCCATGATGGGGCAGAGAGAGACGGCCATGATGGGGCAGAGAGAGACGGCCATGATGGGGCACAGAGAGATGGCCATGATGGGGCAGAGAGAGACGGCCATGATGGGGCAGAGAGAGACGGCCATGATGGGGCACAGAGAGACGGCCATGATGGGGCAGAGAGAGACGGCCATGATGGGGCAGAGAGAGACGGCCATGATGGGGCAGAGAGAGACGGCCATGATGGGGCACAGAGAGACGGCCATGATGGGGCAGAGAGAGACGGCCATGATGGGGCAGAGAGAGACGGCCATGATGGGGCAGAGAGAGACGGCCATGATGGGGCAGAGAGAGACGGCCATGATGGGGCAGAGAGAGACGGCCATGATGGGGCAGAGAGAGACGGCCATGATGGGGCACAGAGAGACGGCCATGATGGGGCACAGAGAGACGGCCATGATGGGGCAGAGAGAGACGGCCATGATGGGGCAGAGAGAGACGGCCATGATGGGGCAGAGAGAGACGGCCATGATGGGGCAGAGAGAGACGGCCATGATGGGGCAGAGAGAGACGGCCATGATGGGGCAGAGAGAGACGGCCATGATGGGGCAGAGAGAGACGGCCATGATGGGGCAGAGAGAGACGGCCATGATGGGGCACAGAGAGACGGGCATGATGGGGCACAGAGAGACGGCCATGATGGGGCACAGAGAGACGGCCATGATGGGGCACAGAGAGACGGCCATGATGGGGCAGAGAGAGACGGCCATGATGGGGCAGAGAGAGACGGCCATGATGGGGCAGAGAGAGACGGCCATGATGGGGCAGAGAGAGACGGCCATGATGGGGCAGAGAGAGACGGCCATGATGGGGCACAGAGAGACG